AAAAATTTCAATTATTTGATTAAAACACATAAAAAATACATAAATTAATAATCATCCTTTACTTAAAATTTAATATATTATTATATTCAACACCTAATACATATAATACATAAGTTTATATGCCCCCTTCCCTATTTTCTCAATCTATACAACTTGTGAGCCCTTACAAATCTACAAGAAAGAGAACATTTGGACAATTCGGATTCAGTGTGTTTGGACTCGAAGGGATTTTCTCTTCGAGCCCACTAAAATTTTGATACGTCTTTCGGTGCTAGACTGGTCATCACCGGCAACCAGCTGAAGTTTGACTGCGGGTTATGATTGATAAAAATACTTTTAAATAATTTTTTTTTTGTAAAGAAATCTAACTAAATATTGATAGAAAGTTCGAAACCCTCATGTTCTTGTACTCGAATCCTTCTCCCCCAACCATTAACAGGAAGACAAAACCTTCCTCACGGTTGTGCCTTTGAATTTGCAAAACAAATCCTTACATTCTCAATCCAAACGCAACTCAAGCTTTGCTCTTCCAATCATTAATTAATGGGAAGACAAACCCGGTTTTAGCTTTGGATTTGCAAGACACGAGACGTCTTATTCTTCCTCCATACTAAGCTTTTAAACGTAAAAACAATAACACCAATTCTCCAAAGATATCTTTTCAAGAAAAACATATTCAAGCAGTCACGCTGTCATGCACAGGATTTTCTTTCATGATAATGATAGGCTCTAAAAAATTTCTATTTTCAAAGGATAATTGGGTTTCAGATTTTAATACGAAAAAGTGGTATTAGGTATTTTCGGACATAAATCAGTGAGTTCATTAACTTGGTCGGTGTTGACAATTTGCCAAAATGAGTTAGAGTTAGGATCTTCAGTCATACAAAGGATTCTTGGACACAAATCAGCAGGTTCATTAGCTTTTTTGTTCTCAATTTCTGCCATCTGTATTTTGGGGTTTCATTCACCTTTGAACACTTTGATGTATGAAACTTTCCGTTAATACCATTGCTGTCGTCGCTAAAATCTACAGTTGTCGTTTTGTTGCAGTTTGAACATCATTGGTAAGGCTTGTTGTTGTTACTGGTTGGGGGGAGAAGGTTTGAGTCACAGGGCTTTGTAGAGACTGCTCTGCAAGTCTTTTTCGCAAATTACAGAATGTAGATTTTTTTTTATATCTTTTATTAATTTTTATTTAAACTCCAACCAATTGTAAGTGATGGCCAGTTAAGCATGAAATTATGTGTCAAAATTTGAGTGGAATCGAAGAGAAAATCCCTTCCATTCCAAACGCACTGAATCCGAAGCCAGGGTTGATAAAGTTGAAAGAAAGAGAGCTTTGGAAGCTATGGACCATACCATATGTTTTAGAGAAACTAATAGAACTTGGGAAACCATGGCCCATGGCAAGGCATGGGTTCAAATCACATGAGATTTGGTCTCGACGTTGTGTGCCAATGGGCCCTATATGCCAGGCTACCAGCCAGTCTGACCCTATTAACCCACTAAGATACAACACCTAACCCGTACGGGGGCTAAACCCATCTGCAATTTTGCGCCAATCCACATAAGATATGGACGATACATGGGGTTCAGAGTTCAAACCACATGAGATTTGCTGTCTTGGTTGTGTTCTAATGGACCCTATATACACCTGTCAGTCTGACCCCACTAACCCACTAGAATACACCACCTAACCCGTATGGAGGCTAAACCCACATCACCAATACCAAAAGGAAAAGGCATTGGATAGTTTTTGCAACTACCTCAAGCACTGTATTGGTCCTTTGTTGTGTGAGAGAAAGTCAATATCTTTGTTCAGGAATCAGGACGTGGCTCTATATATTTTCCGTAGGAAGACAGAGGAAAGGGGCCTGTCCTATTTTCTAATCAATGGTTTATATTTAACCTGCAAAAAACCGTCTTTGACCATCCACCAAAAAGAGGACGACGTCACCATGATTCGATTCTATTTGTTTTTTACATGATTTTATCTTAATAAAAATARCCTACATTAATTGGTTCGTCTGTTGCTTGATTACTTGTGGACTAAGAGGAAGACATGCCTAATAGACTAATAGTATTTGTTATCAAATGGTATCCAACCCGATGATAACTATGACTCAATCGCTGAGATGGTGGTGATTGAGCATCTCTTTATGTATTATTAAAGTACAACATTAAATCCATATATCTATTTGTACTATTATTAAAAGTGGGTGTGGAATTTTTGTTTGATTAAAACACTTTAATTTTTTTGAATTTGATCACTCTCTAAAAGTAAGAATTTCTTCATTTAAATCCCTTTCATTAATCTTATTTTAAGGTATTAATTTACATTGCACTATATTTATTGAATTATATTCTTCACTAAATTAAAATATCCTTAGTTTTGAATTTGATCGTTCTTTAATTGTGAGGGCCATGGTTTTCAAAACCAGATCGGACCGGACGGTTGGACTAGAAAAACTGGGAATCGATCACCTAACCAGTTCCGTTTTCCTCCAAAACCGTTGATTTTGATCAGCAAACCGTTGAACTGGCCTGTTAACCGTTTGAACTGTTCGAATGGTTTTGACCATTTTTCAATTTTTAATTTTTTTTATTTTTTTACCGTTCGAACTAGTAACCGGACCCCTGACCAATTCGGTCACCAGTTCGTTTTTAAAAACCATGGTGAGGGCACAAAATGTAATTTGAATTACTATATTTCTCCTAATCCAAATCCCTTTTATTAAGTCTTATATTTAGGGTATTAATTCGCATTCTTTCATTGAATCCTATATTAATTAATCATGTAAAGAAAAATAAGTGTGACAAAGAATACTTGTTTTTATTGATAATAGAAATTTAAAGACAATCAAAAAACGAAGTTATTTTTTGGTGGTGAGTCAACAATTTAACCTTTTGGGTTGAATGTGCCAATCCTTAATGTTATAATTAAATAACTAAAAAATGAAAATACAAAAGAATTGTAAAAAATATTTCATTACATCTCTAATATCATATATTGATCATATTAAGCAAAAATAATTTTATAAACATAGTAATATAAAAAATTTTGGAAACATATTATTTACCATTATGATCATATGTGTACAGTTACTAGTAAATGTAAATTATTCATTGTGAGATTAATCATACATCTTGCTCTAACCCCAACCCCTTTTCCAAAGTGTGGATGAGAAGAAACATGGCATTCTTATGGTAAGTGGAGATTTTACATACTTCACGAGAATGGAGACATACTGCCGGACACAACTGGTCGACTACGCACCACCAGGCCAAGGCAAGCATGTTACATGGCAAAGATGAGAGTGGCAGTCTGTTATTTGTTTATTTGATGTTTGGGGTCGTATTACTCTTTGGATGTACTAAAAAATACAAAAATGAGAGTAGCACAGGAATCATGCACAATGCACAGGTTGGGATATATTGTGCAGAGATCAAATCTGCGCCCCACATGTACATCTCAAACATCTCCCGAAATTTTGAGTGGGAGATGTTATCAATACACGGTTGGGATATATTGTGAATTCAAATGTGCAAGAGGACAGGTGGTGTTTTTTGATTGTGTGAGATGCGTGTGGGGCGCTGATGGGAATTAATCAACCGTACATGGAAAACATGTCATCCTCCTCTTACATATTATAATGCACGAGGAGATGTTTATGGGTAGGCATGGGTATAGTTCTTGTGGATAGGAGATCGGGAGTCAGTCTGAAATAACATTGTGGTGGGGCCATAACCCATAAAGAAGAATACATGGGAAAGCCATGATTCACGGTTTTAGCACAACTGAACTTGCATTGCAGTAGGAGAAAGAGCTAATAGCCTTACTATTGCAGATGAGTTTTTTTGTTGGGCCTTTTTTGGTTGGAACTTGGAAGCGATGCCAAGACTGTGGTACTGACGCTCAAAAAGGAATCAACTTGTTGTTCAAAAGATACAAGATCCATTTTGATTTTGATGGACACTCTTCATGTGCTAAGCTAAGGAAGCACAACACAGAGAACAGAACTTTTTTTGTCAGTTTCAAGTTCATGAAAAAGGTAGAAGACAATACTACCTTGTGTATCTATATATCTACAATGAGTTTAACATCTGAAAACCAATTGTTTAATCGCCTCCCAGACTCGCTTTCTTTTCGTCTTAAATAATTTCTATAATCACTGCAATGAAATACTAGTCTGGTGATGGTATAGAATAAAAGAAGAAACTGGTCTAAGTTGATCGTATTAATCAATACTAGAACTGGGTTTACAAAATATAATTGCATTGATACAAATTAATTATAATTAGAGCAGTGTTCAATGAACCTCTGTTCTGTATTCGAAGTCATTTGGCGCTGTACCAATCAATAATTTTTAGCTGAAAAAGAACTAATATGCAGAAAGCTAGTCTACTGAATTAGATATATTCGGTGCGGGTAACTATTTTTGTTTCTAGGGCTGAAAAGCTTTTCTAGCTATATCACGAGCTCTACTGAATCCCAAAATTGAACGCATCATATCGTCAGTCGGGGCAAATGCTTTTTCTTTTTTCTTCTGTCATTGTGCCCTTGCTCATCGTGATATCAGTATTGTTTCGACTTTCGATCGTCAAAGCTGTTTGAGAGAAGCCAATTCAATAAACAAAAAAAGAAACCGGGTTATCTGGGGTTAGCAATAAGTAGCAAATGTATGTATCCTTTGGTTCCCTAAAAAGAAGAAATCTCTTTGTCATCTTTTTTGTGTTTATTGGCTAGGCTATTACAAGCAAAAACTGTAAAGGTCCTTTTACCACGGAAAAAGCTACTTTCCTCCGCCTCGGTCGTAGCAGTCTACTGTACATCTTTTTTGATTTTTGATTTTCCTTCTCGTTACAGGGACACCTTATGGTTACTGCAATCCTTTCATGTTAATGTGTTTGTACCGTACGTGGCTTCAAATTTAATGTCGCATTTCCTAGATTTTGTCACAAGAGGAAAGACCGGTGGTCCAGTGATCTGGTCTGGTGATGGTGGCAGGTGACAGTCATTTCAATTCCGCTACGAGGTTATTTTGGGTATAGGATTTTCTCGCGTCGTAAAAACTATGATGCCGGTAATCAAACAAATTGGGTTCTCATCAAAATTCACGGGGGTCAAAGTCTTTGTTTGCGAATTTGAATACATTCGCCGGCCGTTTGACAGCAAGCGATTCTTCACGAAAAATCGGAAACTTTTATAAAGATCTCCGGCGTTCTTCTTGGAAACCTCTACCTCTGTCTCGTTTTTACGCGAGACGGGTTCCATCGCTTCTTCTCTCCCCTCTTAAAAAAAAAAACGTAACAAACCAGTTGATACCTGAGATAGATAGATGTTAGTGGCATTTAGAAACCCACACTGCTGAGATTATATTTCTATCCTTTGTGTTTGGTTTTCACACTTTTTTCTGTATTTTATTTATTTATTTTTGTCTCAAAGACAGCTCCAGAGATGGCGATGATTACTGATTCTTTGGAACGATCTCTCCGAAACTGTTCGCTGAATAATGACGAAGGCGGCGCAGGCGCTGGTGACGGACTGAACAGGCCAGCGGCTTCGGATAATCCGAAGATATATGGCGACACCAGTATAGAACTTAATTCACACGTAGCTCTTCCTTATCAATGGCAACAATGTCTCGATTTAAAGGTTTACACTTTACACCTACTTCAATAAATGCAGAACCAGACCCTACAATTCTCTTCCTTTTAATTTATTTCTCTCTCTCATCTCCTTTACTCAAACAAACACAAGCCAAAGGAGCCTATAATAGAGAAAACGCGAATAAGCTTTTCGTAACTTTCTTTTTTTTTTTTTTTTTTCACAATATTTTTCCTTTTTGCAACTTTGATTATGATCGAATCCTTTATAGTCTTTCATTTGTGTGTGTGGGTGGGTTTCACCCTCTCTGTATTGCTTTTTTTTTCAAATTTGTGAATTTTGATTCTTTTACACGGTCCTCATGCAGACGGGTGAGATTTATTATATAAACTGGCGGAACGGAACTAAAGAAAAAAATGATCCACGGAAAACGGCAACGATTGATGAGAACTACTACTCCTTGGAGGAACAGGAGGAGGAGGAGGAAGAGGAAGAAGAAGAAGAAGAAGAAGAAGAAGAAGAAGAAGAAGATAGATTGTATGACAGCGAGGATTCCTACTCTGATTCTTCTCTCCCATGGAGGAACGATTATCGGAACGAAGGCGATCATGTCCTCGTCGTCACTGGTTGTAAGAGGTGTCTTCTATATTTCATGGTGCCAAAAGAGGTAGAAGAATGTCCCAGGTGCAGCGGTCTTCTTCTACACTTCGATCAAAATGACAATGAGTCCCCGTAAAACTCGCTTTTGTTTATTCTTTCTTTGGTTTCTCGGTGTCTTGAAAGTTGAAACATTTGTCGGTGTGGACTGGTTAAACGAAACAAATGAGCTCGTTAGCGTTTTATTGTTCTTTCTCCTTTATTCTTATTCTAACCATTTTCGGTTTTATCTTGAGAATCATGAGGGCTGCAGAGACGAGGTGTCGAGCGCTATCTGGGTCAATGAGCGAAAGGGAGGAGGGAGGAAAGAATAAAATCGGTAACGATCGAGACTTGTAGAACCCTAGTTTTCTGTAAGTCTCTCTGTGAATTTGTTGATTAAAATTTCTCTCACACACAAGCTCAAGTTTTGATCGGTCAGAGTTCATTAATTTTTTTAGTGATTGATTGGTTCGGCAATGGGAAGATTGTTTTTATTTTATTTTATTTAAGATTAATTTAAATATATGAGGATAGACCTTGACACAATGGTTTAATAATTGACCAACCCCTATCAAATCACGAACCTCCACGCTCCAATAATATATTTGTTTATATGTATATAACTATATATTATGTTTCCATGCAATGTATGCATGTATATACAAAACATCATAAAATATTTTACTTTTGAAACTACTGACCCAACAGATTTTACTCCCTAAATGCTCGACCAAACTCAGATTGTAAGTATGAATCCACCTTTGCAAAGGGTTTAAGTCATATACACGAGATCTAGATGCTGCAGCTGGAGGGGCTGAGTTCAAATTATCGGACTCATTGCAATCATTAATTGATTGTCTCTGTAGACTGTTTATATCGGAAATTGTATTGGGATTGATCATGGAATTAAATGTTTATACCTGGTTTGTGTAAGGTAGAATCAAAGCGGAGAAAACTTTTTTTTTTCTATTGAAATGTCCAAGACGAGTCACTGGACTATGCTGATGAATACAGCTCTTACTTGTCTATAAGAAGATTTCTCTTGAGAAGTCAGATAGGAATTTGTCTGATAGAACCAAGAAGCGGCTGAGAGGCTTGATAGCACCTGAACCTTGCTACCATCAGTGATCAGTCCCAATTTGATAACTTACGGCCTGGAAGCATAAGCAGATTTTGTAACAGGGGAGACATCCACAGAAAGCGTAGAGGCTCTTAGACCTCATGAGCCAACATGAACTTGTCCATGTAATTCCTTTTCTACAAACTACAATCTACATTGAATGGTTGACAAATGATGACAATGGGAGTTATGGAATCTAAGCTGGTATCACCTATATTTGCACTCTGAATGAATACTACCGCAAGAATAGAAGAACGCATACAACATACCAAATGCTTGATTAAAGTTCGATTTACCCGTTTTTTTCATTTAGGCCCTGTCTCGGGGTGACTCAACACTGTGTTATTATGAAAAATTGCAGACTTTACCCCGCTGCATCAAATAGAATATGGAAGGACAATCATGGATGGTTGGTTCCTTGGGATAGAACAGTTTGTCTCGTTGCAAATACTACCATTCAGGTTTTTTGTTTTGGAAAGAAAGTAAGCTACCAGCTCTCCCTGCATTTTTCAGCCTGCCTCAATCGTGGCCAAAATTATGAATAGAAACACAGGAGAAGGAAATCACTTTAATGAATGTAAGGATAATTAATTGGATATATAATTTTAAGTTAGTTTGTAGTCTATGTGCTTGACGCTTCTTCAGAGTACGGTTTGCATCTATTTGAAAATCATTAATGATTGCTAATCTCTTCTTTGCCTCCTGGTTCAGCAAAATGGCAGGATAGGAATTACATTCGTGTTGGCGACCAAGTAGTTGGAAATATGGCTGAGACTAGTTAGGTTTAGCTATGGAATTGGAATCTACTATATTGGTGTATTCTAATCAGGGTAGAAAATTGAAATGGAAGCAGAGGCCCGCTTCTAAGCATTCAATTCTGCGTTTTTTCGGAGAGGCTAGTAATCTGAATTCCGTGGAACTGGGCCAATGAGGCAAAATACAGGAACAAGATAAGAGGACCTTTAGGAATTAAGCTTAGTGAGCAGGTTCTTGTCATTACAATCTAACAACAGTAAAGAAAATTATTATTATCGCACAAACTAAACAGACCAGCATCAAGTATAAACAAATACATTTCAGCGAACAAAAAACGTATAAACAGCCACAAGGAAAACTGTAAAAATAAAGGAAAACAGAGAAGAAAGACCCTTCTCACGCGAGAACATGATAGAAAAGATGGTCATTTATATGGATTATCGAACTGTTGGCTGCACTGCTCTCTGTGATGTGGAGAATTCTGATAAAGTATTCGAGAGATGACGGGTTGCTTTTTCATGGTTGACGAAACCCATGAACCAGAACTCGTGAACGTCAACCGTGATGACCTGGATGTACTTCTCCGATGGATTTTCTACCATGCTGATGGGGTTAATGGTGCTAATCTTCACCCAAGGTACCATAACCTGTTCAAGGTAGCACGGATTAATTACTACAATTTGGAGGAAGAAATTATGGATGCTTTGCACATCTGTTTCAGGATTCAGGAGGAGACTGCTTTTGGCACATCCCACTTTCCTCCATACAGAATCAGAACTCAGAAGTAGGGCTGTCTAAGTAATTATGAATTTCCCTATTTTATACTTGGTATAATTGATGTTTACCTTGTAGTAACTCCAAGCTTCCTGGCCTGAAGGTGCAGTGAAGGAAAGGGGACGATCACTGCAGAAAGCGATATTGACATTTGTGAGATAAAGTGTTCCAGCGACGGGACCAGTGGAGGTTGACAGATAGCAGGCGAAAGTCTTCTTTAGTTTCTCGTTGGGATCATTGGTGAAAGTCTGCTTGTAGAGGGATTCGAAGCCACCTTCTGTTATTGCCTTGGCAGTCAGGTTAACCTTGGCCCATGCAGCCCCTGACACGGACTGTCCCATTTTAACTGCAAATACCAACACCCAAATCAGTAATCAAAACACAGAAACGGCAGAGGTTGTAGAGCTGTTGGAAAGCTTACTGTTTTGCCAGATATTTCGCGCTAATGTCTCTGCCCGCCTGCTCCAGGAATTGAAGAGATGGATGACAGGTTCCAAGGAATTATTGCTGGGCTTATCAACGGGGGAATACTGGAGGTAGGGGTGGGGCTTCTGCTGGTAGTCTTCGGCCTTCCATAAGGCAGCCTTCTTGTTGTCGGGGTGAGATGAGGGATCGACTGGTGGACCCATGATGTAGGTTCCCCATTTCACGGCACTGGCGTCGGATGCTGCTGGAATTGATGAAGATGAACAAGATTGGTGGGTTTGTTGCGCCTCTCCCTCATCAGCTGCAGAGGGTTGATGAAGCTTTGCTGATTCGCATGAACTGGTGGTGTTCATGGTCTGAAGGGAGGATACAGAAGCAGAGAACGTTGTTAAATTGTTGTTTTTTGGTCGTATCTCAAGATTCGTTGCATCTTTTAGCTATGTGCAGAGAACGCTAGCTATTTATACAAATTTACTTGCTACTTGGTTGAAGGAACTAGGAAGGTTAGGAGATATATACTCTATGATATCTAATTTAATATTATGGCACCTTAACAAGCAAGGAAATTTTCCTTCGCGAGTAAGAGTCGAGTCGATGTTTCATGTTTGTTTAGATTTTTGACGGGTGAAGGGGCCAAACAGAGCAGCAGAGTAAAGGGATTTTGACATTTTTACACGGAGAAAGTGGTCTCTCGGCCCATAGGTCATAGGTGAGATAGGTGGGAAGCCGCCGCGGCAATACGGTCATACCATATTTCTTCAACTTATAGAATAACGATTACTTTTGACCAGTCACACGGTGCCTCTAGTCTTAACAGAGATAGCATCACATTTGCCCGCGTGGCCGAACATGAACTTAGTAAAAAGCTTTGAGGAAAATAAATAAACACACGTCATGCAGAAACTAGCAAGGAAACCTCTGTAATGAAATTTGGTTTTGATTTAGATTACTCAAATTCGAATTTTGACATCAATACTCTGGGTACCTAAGTTAACATCCAACTTTAAGATTTGTCTTGGATTTTCCTTAATCCTGATCCCGTCCGTCTAATTTATACCCCTTCTTAATTAGAAATGCTCAATAAAGGTTCAAAGAAATATAAAAGGAAATGAGGAATTTAATGGCGGAGGGGAGATGTTATAAATATTTGACTATTGGAGCAAAAGACTTAGAATGATTTCATGAGGTTATAAAAATAAAGACCTAAGAGTATTTTTATTGTGATTTATTATATTTTTAATAATAATAATAATAATTTAATATTAAATGAATCAATGTATGAGAAATGAGAGGTGTAGGGGTGCTCATAAAAAACGATAAAAACTGTTTCAAATTGAAAAAAAAAATCGAACCAAAAAATATGGTTATAATATATATTATACATGTTTATAGTATTTATAATATAACATATTATATATTTTATACATTTAGAAAATATTTTAAATATAAAAAATTAAGAAACCGAAGAATCAAATTGGTCAAAAATCGAAAACAATCAACCGATTAATTAATTGATTCAGTTTGGTTTGGATTCAGAAATTTTCAGAAACGGGTAATACCACTGGGGTTTTATTGTTCAATCGGCCTCAAAAATCTGAACTCCATAAATCTTGACCATGGATCGATGCCAAATCAATGGCCAAGATGCGATTTATAAGAAAGGCTACCAGTAGACTAAGAGGGGTTATAATTTTAGATTTATGAGATGGATTACAGTCTACTTATCCCTAATACCAATTACTCCTACTAGGAGCAATGACCACAGGGTAGCTAGCCCATCCCCCAACCCTGGTGGTGGGATTTGATCCCCTCACCGCTACAACTAACCAATGAACTTATATCACCTACTTGTGAAAGGCAACTAATGTGTGACTCATATCACCTACTTGATTTAACTTTGTTTCTCTCCTTCCCTCTCAAGAGCTTACACGTACAGAAAGAAGAAGATAGAGATTCGTAGAATACCTCTCTCCCTCTTGAATTCAACAGTTTAATTTTCCTTTGTCCTTTGTTCTTAGCTCTCTACTCCTGTCTTTCAAATCGATCAATATCCTCACACGCCTCTTAAAGCTTTGAATTCTCCTAGCTAGTACGACATAGTGAACGCCTTCACCCCATTATGACTACMTGGACCACTGTCAAGTGTCAACGGACTAAGCAGATGCGCTCCGACGCGCGGAGAATATCTCACCCTCGCCTCGCCCTCGCTCATCATGACATGACGCTCACTCACGGCGGTGACGGTGATTCCCCTTCAACACCGGTCCCCTCACCCCTCACCAGGCACCACTGCCCCCGGCAGCCCTTGAAGTTCCATTATAGGTAGATGGCATGCAACAATGTCTCTTCACTTTCTAGCAGGACCTTGTCGGATACAAGGCGAACTCGGAACTACTACAGCTCGACAACGACAACCAGTCAACACCTTGCACCACCACCACTGCCATCATTGTGTTTGTGTTCTATTTGCCACAAGTACTTTTTTTCACTGGACAATCTTTGCGTTAACACTCGACACGAGCATTATCACTAGGATGGGATGATAAGAAGATGGAAGGAAATCCAAGATTTATTGGGATAAAAGAAGGGAGTCAGCGATTATAAAACAATTCCAAAATTTCATGGGAGGAAGAAGCGGAGTCTTCTCCCGACAAAGAGCCTTTGCCTATTAATTCATGCATGAGGATTCGTTTTTTCGGTTAGGATAATTTACGCCTGAGCTTGATCTTCAACTAAACATGCATTATTAGAGTTTGTCATCGATACCGTGATCCGTGATAGCAGAACTATGAATCGTGGGAAGCAGTGTAGTAGTAGTAGGAGTCGGCAAATAAGGCAATGAAAGAAACGGGAGAAAGTATTTCAATTCTGGTGACTTCAAAAATGACGATAAGGTATCAAATATTGCTTAGAAGCCTCTTATTTATTTACTTAATTTTTTTATATCAGTACAGTACAGAGTACACCACTGATTTAAACGCTCAAAAGATGCAATGAATCGTTTAATTATACAGCTCTTTATTCGTGTGATTGTGTATGTACACCGTTCAGCGTTCACCGACCGAAAATTCTGTTAATTAGATAGATGCAAGCGTTTATGTTCGCCTAACAATGATATAAAGGATCGTAAACATACAAGTTTTGTTGTTATAAATAAAAAAGCAGTGACTAAAGGTCCATTTGGTTTGGTTTGGGGGAATAGAGATCTGGAACCGGAACCAACGGTTTGGTTGGATGCCATAAGAATTTCACTCCCATTCCTGGTGGAGCGGGAGGAATGGCATTCTCACATTTGGCCATTCCCCCAATCCAAATGAGAATACATACGTTTCAACTGATTCCAATTCCCGTCTGAAAGACTGAAACAAATAGATGAGAGAGATGGACCATTCCAATTCTGATTTAGAAATAGAAAAGAGTTCAAATCAACTAAAGATGTAAAATAGCCCACGCCCACCATTTCAAATCAAGATACATATTTTTAGAGTCAGCCTCAGCAATCAATTCCACATCCAACCAACCAATCCAGTCAAAGAGTCCAGACAAAATCAGGTGCATCTCTCCTGGGTCCACATAAGGTTCGGTACACAAACATCTTTTCTACCTTCTCTCCATCATCATGAGAATTCTCCATCATCTGATCCTTTTCATTTATGATTTCCACATTCAGTCTAGGCATTTTTTTGGCAAGGGCCTTGCAGCCTCCAAGAGTAACATCACAGGACGACATCCAAAGGGATCGCATTGTCTCATACTTCCCCACGTTCGTCAGTAGTGCAATATCCCCAAATGGGCTATCCCTGATCTCCAGCTTCCTCAGGTTCTTGCACCCATTTAACACATAGAGCATTCCCTTGTCGCTTTCCCCTGCAAATGCAATTGAAAGCATTTCTAGCCGTTCCGCATACATACCAATATACAAAAATACCTGGTCGGTAAGCAGGCCAGAAAGAGACAACCGTCTGAGGCCCTTGCACGACTGAACGATTGCCCCAAAGCCTTCATCCAGTGGCTGCAGTGTTACATGGTCAGGTTTTGTTGGGTCCAGGATGCACAATCTGAAGCGAGTAAAATTGGGACAGTTTTTAGCAACATTTATTAGGGCAGCATTTGTCATCTGCCGACAGAAGTACAGCAACGAATGAAGCTTGGGGCAGCCCATTGATATTGCAACCAGGCCTTCTTCTGTTACAGTGGCATTTCCTCCACCATAAGGATCATATGGAAATACCCTTAATTCCTGTAATTCTTTACAGGTGGAAGCTACCACTTCCAGCCCTTTGTCCCCAATATAGTCCAATATCTGCAAATATATGGTAATCATAATCATGCATCTATGTAGAAAACTTAATAAAAAGAAGAAAGAGCTAAAGGCTCATTGTTAAGAGATCGAACCCATAGACGCTGTAGTTTTCTGCAGTGACGAATCAAATTGATGAGTTCATTACCCTGGATCCCTGGTGCATAGCTCAAGTTCAAAGAGGTCAGGTTCAAGCAAATAGGGTAAAAAGCTGGAAGACAGCATGGAGCAACCTCTAAAAACCCAGACAAACTCTGGACTGATTTACAGTTGAGAACAGCATTACACAATTTGACATATGCCTCAGAATTTGATTCGTGAACATATGAACCTATGCCTATGTCCACTAGTTGAGGTGCTCGTGTCAGAATTTTGTGGAGTGCTTCAAGTGGCACCGCACGGTTTAATCTCAAACTCCTGAGATTTGGACATCTAGCCACGAGCCTCTCGAGAGCACCCAAATTCACTTCTCCTTTCAGGCATGCAAAATTCAGAGAGACAAGTGATGTGCAGCTGTCAGGAAAACAACCAAGCCAGTGACCCCTGCGATCCTCAACTTCATTTTCTTGCAAATCCAGCTCCCTAAGAACCCTAGGTATTAAAAATAACAACACAGAATAACATTGTCTTAGAAAAAAATAATGTTGTTTCCTATTAACAGATCATTTAAAAAGAATATTAAAAAAGAGCAAGAAGTAGCATATTTCATGATCACCAAAGAAGCTTTGATCAAAAGTTCAGAAAGATTCAACACAAGGCACCCAATTCTCTACCATATTGACATGCAAACAGCATGAATGAGGTAAGTCATTTATCAACTAGGATTTGACTATAATACCAAAAAAAAAATCCTTATAACCAATCAACCCAGTATCAAACATTTACAGCATCATAGATTTACCCTATGAACTATTTATGAAAATATTAACCATCAGTATTGCCATCACTATAATGGTTGCATGGGCTCCAACCAATAGAGCATATAATGGCAAAGAATGAGCCCAATGGCAACAAAACAATGAGAACTGTTCAAATAATAAACCTTATCAAGATCATTGCTTACGACTATAAGGTCTAACTGAAAGATTAAAGTTTACAAAATATCACCCCTTTTATTAGGCAAGGCTTATAGAGTTAGGATTAGATTCAATAATCACCAGCTAAGTATGTTGCTTAGGATGTAGACTTGTAGATCATCACATTACACATCAATTGGATGATACAGATTACTTATGTATGCATTGGTTGAATAGTGACAACCTAATATTAGTATTTCTAATGGATAACAAGCCCGCTAGTCATTCAAACAAATAACGTAATACTATACAAAATATTAGAAAGCAGCTATATATTTGATTTTAAAGTTACTAATATATAACAAACCACACCTCTAAATCAGCAATTGGAGCAGAAAAGAAGAAAGCCAGTGCAATAAAAACAACATTTCCATAAAAGAAAAGAGGATAGGAGGAACACAGATGCCCTTACCTGCAATTCGCAGCTATGGATGCCAGGCCGTCCGTGCTGAACCCCTCACAGCTTACTAGAACAAGAGACTGGAAATTCGGGAAGGAACGGGAAAGCAATTCCAGACTCTCATCCGAAACCACCATCCTCTTCAACCGGAGCTCCTCAAGATCCGGATAGCTCTTCGCCATGGCCACAATCCAGGGGTACACGAAGCCTCCCCAATCATGAGGAACCAGACTGAAATCAGCAAAATGTGGCTTCCCTTTCAACGTAAGAGCCCTAACCCTCGGAAACCTCGCAATTACTCTCTCCGGGCTAATGGCATAACAGTTACCAATAAAAACCCTATGTCTGCTCCATCTCTCCACCCTAAACCAAGACTTGCAGACTTGGGATACCGCATTCCGGTCGCGGTGGGACGAAAGGAAATCAAAAACATGCTCTAGCACCTCCTCAGGAAAATATGTCATCTTTTCCAAAAGGAATGTATTAGAAAAGAAGAAGCTGCTCCGAGAGAATCTACGGGAAGGAAAGGCTTTAGCGAGAAGATTTGCTCTAACAAAAAGCTTTCACAAAAACAGCGCGAAAGAAACAAGACTCAACCACCCAAACCCTGATCGCCTGAAGTCGGCATGCTTGTATATACAGAGGGGGAAAAAGAAAGGTTTTAAGAAGAAAATCGGGCAGTCTAACCAGATCTCCGCCCAGATTTGCCCTAACAACTCTAGATGCCCATCAGAAAAATCAGATCTGAAGCCCCAAAACCATGGCTAATATTAAAAGAAAATAGTATACTAAAAGAAATGAAATACTCTCTTACATCAGACCTAGAATCCCTCAGAAAACAAGAAGGAAAATGAAAAAGAGAACTCGAATCTCCATTAGAAAGCTATGAAGAATGGACCCTAGTTATCACCAAGGAATCAAAAACTGGTGATTAGAGCGATGGAAAACCCTCTAAACAGCTTGGATCGAAGTCCAGGAGGGGATTTCCACAAATAAGTAAAAGCGACAGAAATCGATCATTGAAATCAGGGTAAAATATATATTACAAAATAAAGAAAGGGAAGGAACCTTACTCTCCGTCTCTTTCCCTTCTTTCTTTCTGTCTCGGTGTCGCAGTTAGGATGTGCCAGCCCTCATTGGCTCATTCTCCATCTATTCCTACTACTTAGTCCGGCTTGTGTTGAAGGCTAAAAACTCTCACTGAACAGAAGGCTGAAGCATATCAGTGAAGTAACCGTAGTTAAGGATTCGACCATCATGTCCAACCATAGTCAAGTAAATTAGTGATCGGACGGCCAATTTCGCGTAACGATAGATATTTCAGGGAATCTTGACCGTAGATTGCTGAATACTGCATGCGTCCTTATCTCTCTGCTCCCGAAGAGAGACAGGGGACTGCCGAAGTGCCTATAATCCACAGGACAGCCTCACAGGAGAGAGAGAGAGAGAGAAAGAGAGAGAGAGAGACCAGTAAAAGTGAGCTTTGCAAACAGATGAGAGAATGCAAAATTGGGGTTCAGCCTTCAGGAGTGTAGACAGTGGACTTAGCCTTGTAATTTTTTAATTTACGGAAATACCCCCAACGAATTTTTTTTTCTTTTTGAAAGGCTAGAAATTGTGTCGTTTGATATGGTGTCAGATTTTTCATTATTTATCGTTTTCTCCGAGTTTCACTTGCCTGCAACAGTTAACAGAATCTTGAGTGTTTAATGATTAGGCATTTTCAGTACTAAGTAMTGCGTAATAATATTTATTACTATATTTCTTTATACCATAAAATTGATTCCCGCTATAGGTGAAATTGTAATGTGGGCCCGGCACGGCCCGCAGCTCGAGCCCAAGTGGGCCCGTGCCGTGTCGAGCCGAGGACGCAGATTAAACAAAATAGATAGTAAGTTGAAAATAAAATTTCTAAAAATTTTAGGGGATAAGCGTACTTGTTTATGGGATGGGTAATCCGATTTAAGTCAGGCTCGGGCATAAAATATCGGCACAACCTTTTTTTTTCGAGTTGGGCTTGGGCTTTCTCAAAAAAATTYGATTCGAGCTTGACTTGATAATGTATCATATAATAAAAATATCTTTTATATAATATATATTTTTTTTATTATTTTTCTCTTTTTTTTCAAGTAATAGTGAGATTTTTCATTTCTTTTAGGTTTTAAGGTCTTTCAATATAAATAAAATACATTTTAATTGAATAAAAAAGAAGAAGAATATTTTTTTCAAATTTTTGGCCAAGCTTAGGTTTCAGGCTTTATATGAGGGTTGGGCTCAAGTTCAAGACCTAGGACCAATGGTCGGACCAAGCTTAGGTTTCAGGCTTTATATGAGGGTTGGGCTCAAGCTCAAGACCTAGGACCGATGGTCGGACCAAGCTCAAACTTGAGTTTGAGCATATTTTGTTAATATAAAGGCAAAACCTAGCTCAACCCGGCCCATGAACAAGTTTATCAATAAGTCATACCAATTGGCGGGGGCTAAAGTGGAAAGATGAGAACATGCACCAATGTTTGTAAGCATAGCAAGATATCAAAGGCCCGAGGAGATTTCCCCAGGAAGGTACTCCGACACTCGAGTCAATAAGTTAGATGAAAGATCATTTAAGATGAGCCAAAGAGAACAGATTGATCCAAACCATGGTGAATGCAATGGATGCAAGAGTTGAGAGCCAAAAGTCTTTTACCTCAAGGGGGAGATGCCATTAAATAGTTGGACAACTATGTTGTAGTCGGATGAGATCCGCAAGGTAGGGGTGAGCATTCGGTTTTAACTGAATAAACTAAAATTTTAAAAAGCGAACTAAAAAATAAAAACCAAAACCAAATTTTAGAAAAACCAAAATAACCGAAATTGAATTTTCCGGTTCGATTTTCAATTATTTTGGTTAAAACCAAATTTTAATAATATATTTTGATGAGGGCAGATTTGGCCCTCCAGTGAAATTGCGACCCAGGCAGCAACTTACCAAGTTGGTATCCCACCCGAGCACCGGTCTGGCCGGCCTGGCGCG